TCTGTTTTATTCAACACAGCTGAATATATTACACCCTAAACTAAACAAAGTTTAGGGTAAAACGTTTTAAAGGAAACTAAAATATTGCTGCCAACAAAATAGTACTCAGTACATGCATAGAGTAGAGTATATATATATATATATATATATCAATGTCATATTAATATGTTTGTTTCATTAATTCTGATGAACCATGGACACAGTTTAAAACTGAATAGTTTAGAAAGAAGGTTCAGAGTACTTCAGGAATCAGTTATAAATTTGGGGATTATTATTATAAGAAATGACAGAACTATAAGTATAATAAATTAGTTACAACATAGTTATGGTTGGTCAGGGCTGACAACTCAGCCACACAAACAGTAACACCATATCACCAACCTTAGACCAAGCCTGTTTACCGTTAATACTATTTATTTTACTATCACATTGATTTTTGACCAAGCACTTGTCTTCCTTATTCTGTCTTACAATCAAATTTAGTTTGCTGGAGGATGTTAACTAAGTTTTCAAAGTTTTTTACGTATCTGAACTTCCAAAAGCCCTTTGACAGACTTGTAATTTGTCTCCCCTAACCATTGTGTGCAGGGCACATGATGATGAACCGTTGTGTTGTGCATCAGTTCAGTGATTCCAGACACACACGCACAAATGTGACAATGAGTATCCATCAGCCAGCCACTTTCTGTTGCTGTTAGTCATGTTGTCACATTTCATGTCATTGAATGTAAATAGTAAATTGATCACATCATCAAGAAGATGCCTACAACGTTCCAAACAACATGCTCATCAGAATGCTGTTGGATATGCAGATTGAAACAAAATTGGTCAACTGGATCGCAGCAGCGCTATTTGAAAGAAGAGTGTCACGTCGATGTGGTGAATGGGCATCCAAACCTCAATGCGTCCTAATGGGTCTGCCCCAGGGATCACCGTTGTGACCTGTGCTCTTTAATGTGTAAACAGCAGGAGTTACAAGTGCACAAAGCGCAGGTCTAGGCAGAACAATGTTGTATGCAGATGATATCCTCCTTTTTTACCGTCAAGGTAAAAACAGGCACGAAATTATAACCATGCTACAACACGAACTAGACAAAATGAGTGGTGCCAGGAATCAAGAGCTCAAGTGAACCCATCCAAAGTCTCCTTAACATGGTTCTCTTTGAATTCACACATTGTTACAATACCAACGCCAATCGTAAGCATGTGTGGTGTGGACATTGAGAGAATGGAAACCATGAAATACCTGGGCATGACATTTGACAGATGCTTGTCATACAAATGCCACGTAGAAAACGTTATACTTAGAGCCAGGAAAGGTCTGACAGCACTCAAGATGCTAGCAGCAGCTGATATTGAACGCCTACTTTTCCTTTTCTATCAAGGGCTAGTATTAAGCGTCATTGACTATGGTCTTGGCCTCCCCACTGTCAGCAAAATCCAGCTATTAGACTCATACTCGGCTGCACAAAAGACACCTCCTGCAACGTTATCTCCTGAGTTTGCCGACGATGACTAGCAGATATAAAGTCGCATAGGTCAAGGCGTACACTAGGGTATCGGCAGATGTTAACCACCCACTGCACAAAGCTATACATGACACAAAAGGAACAGGTCTCAAAAGAGGCTTCTCTTGGATGACAAAGGCTGAGGATTTAATCCAGACATGATTAGTCATGGAAAAGAATGGACGAATACACCAGTAGACATTAATGGCATCTCTAAGGTCATCATCACACTCGGAAGGTACTGCAGGGATCAAATTTCTGTGGCCCTAGAAAAAAAAGGTAAGGGAACTGATAGATCAGCATTCAGACCCAGAAGATATCATTATCTACACAGATGAACCTGTAAAGCGTGGATCGAGGTCAGCATGGGCCAACGCAGCGCAAAGAAAAGGAAAAAAATACAGGAGGACCACCACACAGGCAGTAATTGTATCAGATTCCATGAACATGCTCCAGAAGATAGCAACTGGCAAGCACTGCACTAAGGCATGTGGGAAGAAGCATGGACAGAGCTGATAACGTCAGCGCTGTACGGACTGGGCTAGTGGATAATGAGGAATCCCTGACACTAACATGATTGCGTGACATGGGAGTAAAGCATGTCTATGCCATCTTTGAGGTCGAGATAGGAGACACTATAACCAGCTTCTCATTGGAACAATGAGTAGAAGTACTTTGGATAGGCTGCTGTATTGGAGGACTAAGCACGCATGGGAATGCCCAGTGTGCAGTGACGTAACATGCATGCATTCCTTCTTATGCAACATTCACTTGCTTGGTCAGGCTTTACTCTAAGATAGTTTAATTGGGCTAGCTAGCATTGGAGACTTATAGTGCAAGTCACACTGCATTGACTATCAATCAGTCCTCATCGCACCCAGAGGCACATGAGGCAGAGATAAACTGTCACCACTCAATTCGATCCTGAGCTGTCCTCTCTATCTCCAGTTCTGTGCAAATGTGTCTGTGTGTGTGTATGCTGGTTTGTGTTTGTGTGTCGCATGTGTGATTGGGTATGTGCGCGTATGTCTGTTTGTGTGTATGTGTCTGCATTTGTTTCTATGGGTGTGTCTGTGTTTATATCTGTATGTTTGTATGTGTGTGGAATATGCGTGTCTGTGTGGATATGTAGCTATGTATGTGAGTGAATGGGGTGTGTTTATGTGTCTGTGAAGGTATGTGGGTGTGTTTAAGTGAGTGTATGGGTGTGCGTGTGCATGCATTTTACCACCCATGCTATTGTGCTTTTTCTTCTTCTCTTTTTTGAAATTCATAATATGCATATTATCATATAAATATTACATGCTTATTGATAAAATACAGCTGCAGTGTGTGAAGGTATGTGGATGTGTTTAAGTGAGTGCGTGTCTGTGTGGGTATATAGCTTTGTATGTGGGTGAATGGGGTGTGTTTATGTGTCTGTGAAGGTATGTGGATGTGTATGGGTGTGCGTATGCATGCATTTTACCACCCATGCTATTGTGCTTTTTCTTCTTCTCTTTTTTGATATTCATAATATGCATATTATCATATAAATATTACATGCTTATTGATAAAATACAGCTGCAGTGTGAAAGACGGGTGTTTGCAAGGGCCGAATGTAAGACGGGCCTGCGTGCCCAATTTGTAACCCTTTGAAAATAAGGTTCGTTTGTTTGTTCGTTCTTTCACGTAGCTGTGAGTTCAACTTCAAAAGTTAGCATCCAAGTGCCTAGGGGCTTGCCTCTTCCTCGCTGTCCTTGTGTCCATTTCATTGCCTGTCTCGGCCGCCTCTCTTTCTTCATCCTGAGGATGTGTCCAGTCCACCTCCAAATTCAATTTTTTTTAAATTTCTAAATTTACATCTTCTAAGTCTGTCAGTTGTTGTAATCTAGAATTGCTGATTTGATCTTCCCATGTGAACACAAACAATCTTCTGAGAAGTTTTTCCTTAAAACCTCTGAGCTTGCTCTCTATCTGTCTGTCTGTTTCCAAGTTTTTGTTCCATAGAAACAAACACGTTTTTGTAGGTCCTGAGTTGAGTTTGAGTACTTTAGTTGTTAGATCTGCAGACACTCTGAAGTCTGTTGTAAGCAGCATTAGCCTTTTCTCTTCTCTACTTGATTTCAACCAGTACATTTCCATCTGAAGAAATATTGCTTCCCAGGTCAGTTAGTTTCCAAACCTACCTTATCTATTACTGTAGGCCTTTCACTTTTGGGGTTCATCTCTAGCAGTTTTTTTTTTACATTGATTCTTAACCCTGTATGTTTTGCTATTTCTGTGATCTTATCTGTCTTTTGTTGCAGATGTTCTTTACTTTATTAATACTGCTTATTGCCGTTTCTATTTCTTTAACACTGATTGGCCCAATATCTATTTCTAGGAGTTGGGCACAATTTTATACTGTTTCCACTGAGATATCTGATGCTGGCCTATTTAGCAACCGGATAAAATATACTTGCCTTCTGCCAACCTTTCCTCTTTCTGTTTGATTATTTCTCCTGTTGTGTCACTCAGGTTTCCTTCATTAAAGCTAAAATATTTCAGACTAAGAACATTTGTTATGTTCTAGTATCACCTGTCATTACTGCTTCTTCCACTTTGGTACCTTTGTTCCAAGTTTTCTTTTTTGTCTTTCTTTAAGCTTTTCTTTACTTCTTTTTATGTTTGGTGTTATATGCTTTCTGTGCGGTCATCTTTTCCAGTGTGCTGTTTGCAAGGTTTATTTGCTCTTTTTTCATTTTTCTTTCTTCTATCTTTGACCAAGATTCTTTAGATATCCATTACTCTCTCACATGTTTCTTCATACCCTGTATTTTCTGGGGTACACTGCAATAAACATCTTTAGACTTTGCCCATTTTTCTTCAATATTTGCTGTCTCTGGTAGGTGGTTAAACACCTCGAACTGGTTTCTTCTCTGACTTTTAATGTCCTGAGCTGGGCTGAATCAAATAATGGGCGTACAGTCTTTTTCTTGCTTATTCTTATTGTAGCTTCAATCTACAAATCTCTATATTGTTGTCACTTCCGACGACAGGTTTCCTTCTAACAAATACATCTTGCATCGAGGTCCTCCACTTCTTATTGTACAGTATGTGATCAGTTTGCATGAAGACTTCTACCAATGACTAGACTGTGGTGGAAACAGAAGTCAGTCAGCCTTTCTCCATTATTGTTCCTCTCTCCTAGCCCATTTCTTCCCAAGATGGATTGAAGTCCTATGTTATCCCTTCCCACTGTTGTGTTAGTCCCCTATGACATTAAGTAGGTCATGTTTGACTATCATCTAACATCAAATTAGTCCTTTCCATGCTTCTTCCCATTTCTATGTGTGAGCTGTTGGACATATTTAATGTGCAAGAAATTGTGTTCTGACCTCCAAAAACATTTAATTATGCAACAAAAAATTCTTTAGTTTTGTTTACTGTTTAATCTCTTTATTTCAGATATTCTAGTAAAGAAATTCAGCTCTTTGTCACCGAATCAAGTCTAGCAAACAGGAGCTCACCATGTCACTTATATCAAACTCATCACTTTCAAACAACGACATGCACAGTCAGCAGCATGGCAACTCCCTGCCGACCGTCAGTGCAGATGACACTCACAGCCTAGATCAAGCAGACACAAAAAGCTCACTGCCACCCAGCACAGACATGGATCAATATATGAACAGTTACCACGTGGCTACTGACAGCAACAACTCGGCAGTTGTTCATAATGGTAGTGCAGCAGACGACGACGATGATGCTCCAGTTATTGATATTATGATAAACAATGTTGTTTCTACGTTTAATACACGCTGTTATCTCAATTTGAAGAAGATAGCCATGGAAGGGGTCCATGTAGAATACAAACGAGAAAATGGGGTAAGTTTAGACGTTGTGTGTTTCTGTGAAAGCTGCCGCAGGAGTTTCATGCCACTCATGAAAACTACCAGGAAAAGGGTAAAATGAATTTAGGGAACATATCAGTAAAAGAGATTCTTCTTCTCTTCCACCTTGTACCTCAGCGAAGCGTCAGGGGGAGATGTAACATTCGTTGATGAGCTCTGTCAAGAGCACTATTAAGATTGATGTTTATTTCTCAGTTGTATCCCTCCTCATTAAATCCTGCAGTGTTTACCAGTCCTGTGTTGGTTTCTTGTTCTTCTTTGGCTTTCTGCATAGTGTTCTTTTCTGGTCACACCAATTTTAACTTTCCGTTCTTGCAGTCTGATCAGGATTGCAAATTCACTCACTTTATTCTGGCAAACATCTTACTTCTAATACAGCATTCTGTATATCAGCCTGGTCCATGGCTTGTCTGCCCTTCACAATAGCCTTACCCGCAAGCCTATCAGCTTGTTCATTTCTTTGCCCTGGCACGAGAATGAAACTTAATATTTGTCAGCCCTGGCCACATCAGGCACTCTAACCACTGTCTTTGGACCCCTTCTATCTCTTGTTTTCCAGAGGATAATGAGTACCTTGAGAAAACATGCATGATTAAAAGTCTGTTTCTCCAGCCATGTTGTTGCAGTGACCTCTCCATAGTCACGCTAATACTAGCCAAGGCAAAAACACCTGAATCTTCTTTCACAAGTCTACCTCCAGCCGGAGCTGTAAATACCCACGTGCTTCTCACATGGTGTAATTGACGACATCACCTTGTAGAGAATTCTCAAAAATCAAGGCTTCAATTTCTGCCTGCACAGCGGCCATACATTGTGTGTATTTTCTGTCTAGCCAGGTACTATGTCTTCATGTAAACATGCCTGCTGAATAATATCCTGTGCTTACTGCAACCGTGACTTCTCTTTTTAACCTGCTGAATAATATCCTGTGCTTACTGCAACCGTGACTTCTCTTTTTAACCTGCTGCCTTTTTTCTTTATAATATCACTATAGAGCAGGTTTTGGGTGAATCTGAGGTTGGCACATGCTCAGAAAATTTGTATTCTGTCTTTGAGTGGTGGAAAATCAGGCAGCGTAATGAATTGGACAGTGGGCTGTTGGGCATAAGAATTGGGACATAGCTGGCTCTTGGGGCATAAGGTTTGGACATATTGGTCTGTGAAATTAATTGTGGAACACAAGCATTTCGACATAATGTACCAGAGGTACTCCCATAGACAAGAAAAATGTGTATTTAGTGTAATAAGACCTGCTTTTTGTTTTCTCACTTAAACAGAAGCATAGGTTTACAGACACACAACTGCTAAGATTTGCTGTATTTCACCACATAGACATGAGAGAACTGAACATTTTCTGGAGTTACTATGGCTTTCTATGAATCTTCTATGTCATAAAAATATTCATGTCGTATTCCTGATCGTTGTTGCATTGCTGAATTTGTTGACAACAGATGCTGAATATGAAGCTGAGGAGGCCAAACACAACCGCAACCATCTGGTCATCGGGGAAAATCACCTGCACCGGCGCCACCAGGTAAGGGGCAGCCACTCTTTCTAGAGCCAACAGTTTTCATACTTGAACTAATGACTGCAACATTTTGCCACTTGTACTGCCAGTAATTACTGATCAGATATTCTGTCGTGCAATAACCCGAAACATCTCTCTTCACTTCCCTTTAATTTTCCAATTGTCATAACAAATGCTAGTTCTCCCCTTCTCAAGACATACCCAGGTTCTCCCCTTCTCAAGACATACCCAAGTTCTCCCCTTCTCAAGACATACCCAAGTTCTCCCCTTCTCAAGACATACCCAAGTTCTCCCCTTCTCAAGACATACCCAAGTTCTCTCCTTCTCAAGACATACCCAAGTTCTCCCCTTCTCAAGACATACTCAAGTTGTCCCCTTCTCAAGACATACCCAAGTTTTCCCCTTCTCAAGACATACCCAAGTTCTCCCCTTCTCAAGACATACCCAACAAGTTCTCCACTTCTCAAGACATACCCAACAAGTTCTCCCCTTCCCAAGACATACCCAAGTTCTCCCCTTCTCAAGACATACCCAAGTTCTCCCCTTCTCAAGACATACCCAAGTTCTCCCCTTCTCAAGACATACCCAACAAGTTCTCCCCTTCTCAAGACATACCCAACAAGTTCTCCCCTTTTCAAGTCATACCCAAGTTCCCCCCTTCTCAAGACATACCCAACAAGTTCTCCCCTTTTCAAGACATACCCAAGTTCTCCCCTTCTTAAGACTTGCTCAGAAAATATGGATTGCCTGCTTCTGAAGTAGCTAACCCTCTTTGTGAATGAATTACTTTAAGACACTCTTACCACTTTGTGTGTGTGCTTGGTGTTTTCATCATTCACCTATAAAACCTCATCTTCACAGCTTCTACATAATTATTATTAAATCAGTTACACACATACGTTTCTGCTGTCTGGATAATTTAATATCTGGTTGCCATAATTCATGACTAACTTTTAAATCCTTGCATTAATATTTCAGTTGAAGCACACAGTTTATTCATTAACATGTCATTTTATTGTTCTTCTTGGTATTTCATTGATTTCTGTCTGTGAAGTATTTTTATGAAATGAAATATTACAGTTGTACAATGGATGTTTCAGTGAAGATGATGCCAAACGGGCAGCCAGAAGAATAGCCAGGCGGCTGCAGAAATTAGGGTTCAATACTCGGTTCTGCAGTTATCGGGTGGTCAATGTTTTAGGCACCTGTAGTTTACCTTTCGGCATTAAACTCAATCAGTTTTCAGAAGGGAATAGAGACAGTGCCAGGTAAGTGACTTGTCTGGCCACATTTTTAAAATTATTTTTTCTGTATAACTCCTATTTATATTTGATTTTGTGTGTCATTTGGCCAAACGATCATATTTAATTTGGCTTTGGATTGCCGAAGGACTTTATTGCAAAGATGATTACCGTGAACAGCAGCCAAACAAAACATTTAACTACAGGCACTGCACCTTCGGAGCTAATGAGGATGTTCGGTGCTCCTCTGCATTTGTCCACAATGACGCTATGATAGTCCTCACTGATTCAGAAGGGCGTGGTATTTAAACACAGTAGTAACTTTTCATTACTGTTAATTCTAGACTGTATCCCTTTCCTTAATAACTCTTTCAGGTTTCTTTGGCATCTCCATTCACTTCCATCTTTAACTTAAGCTTTAACTTTATAACACTTTGCTACTAAGGCAAATTGGATTATTTTGGTGCTTTTGTGCTGCTGATATCGCAGAGTGATATTCTGTCTGGTTGTTCTTGTTCTGACATTTGACATAGCCATCTTTATTTTGCTATTCTCTCACTTTACTCAATAAGTTTACCTGTTGCTGCTAAGTCAGGGCTTTTCAGCAGGGTCTGGACCACGAAGGTCTGACAAGTGGCCGGCCACAACAGTGACCTTTCTATGCTCAAAATCGAGCCTCTGGTGTTTAATGATCCTGGTATTCAACACTGGCATTTGCATAAACTTTGTTGAATAGTCCTGCAGTTTTTCAACTTATCTTTTAGGAAAACAGTACCAACACAATATTGACTACCTGTACATTTTCTAGTCAAACTGTACTTGTTGTCTGCTTCATGGATTTTTCTGTACATGTGTGACAACAAGGTATCTTTAAGAGTAGGGGAGCCGAGGTTACACATTTATCTACAGCCCACTGTAGAGGAAGAAAGATTAATCATAGTCTGCACCCCAAGGCAGAGGAAGAATAATTAAACATATGTCTGCACCGCAGGGTAGAATATTAAAGCTAAGCCTAACACAAAAAGGGACTAATTGAATGCTAGTGCCAAGTACATACGTCATGGGCCACATTGATACAGTGGCTAGCAAGTTAGCCTGAGTGCCTCAATATTTCATAGACTACACTGTGTGCCTCATTCTTTCATAGACTACACGGAGTACCTCAATCTATCATAGACTACACTGTGTGCCTCATTCTTTCATAGACTACACTGAGCGCCTCAATCTTTCATAGACTACACTGCGTGATCAATCTTTCATAGACTACACTAAGTGATGACTACACTGAGTGCCTCAATCTTTCATAGACTACACTAAGTGCCTCAATCTTTCATAGACTACACTGAGTGCCTCAATCTTTCATAGACTACACGGAGTACCTCAATCTTTCATAGACTACACTGTGTGCCTCATTCTTTCATAGACTACACTGTGTGCCTCATTCTTTCATAGACTACACTGAGCGCCTCAATCTTTCATAGACTACACTGCGTGATCAATCTTTCATAGACTTCACTAAGTGCCTCAGTCTTTCATAGACTACACTGAGTGCCTCAATCTTTCATAGACTACACTAAGTGCCTCAATCTTTCATAGACTACACTGAGTGCCTCAATCTTTCATAGACTACACTGAGTGATCAATCTTTCATAGACTACACTGAGTGATTAATCTTTCATAGACTACACTGAGTGATTAATCTTTCATAGACTACACTGAGTGATTAATCTTTCATAGACTACACTGAGTGTCTCATTCTTTCATAGACTACACTGAGTGATCAATCTTTCATAGACTTCACTAAGTGCCTCAATCTTTCATAGACTACACTGAGTGCCTCAATCTTTCATTGACTACACTGAGTGCCTCAATCTTTCATTGACTACACTGAGTGCCTCAATCTTTCATAGACTACACTGAGTGCCTCAATCTTTCATTGACTACACTGAGTGCCTCAATCTTTCATAGACTACACTAAGTGCCTCGATCTTTCATAGACTAAACTGAGTGCCTCAATCTTTCATAGACTAAACTGAGTGCCTCAATCTTTCATAGACTACACTGAGTGCCTCAATCTTTCATAGACTACACTGAGTGCCTCAATCTTTCATAGACTACACTGAGTGCCTCAATCTTTCATAGACTAAACTGAGTGCCTCAATCTTTCATAGACTACACTGAGTGCCTCAATCTTTCATAGACTACACTGAGTGCCTCAATCTTTCATAGACTACACTAAGTGCCTAAATCTTTCATAGACTACACTAAGTGATCATTCTTTCATAGACTACACTAAGTGATCATTCTTTCATAGACTACACTGAGTGCCTCAATCTTTCATAGACTACACTAAGTGCCTCAATCTTTCATAGACTACACTGTGTGCCTCAATCTTTCATAGACTACACTGAGTGATCAATCTTTCATAGACTACACTGAGTGATCAATCTTTCATAGACTACACTGAGTGCCTCAATCTTTCATAGACTACACTGAGTGCCTCAATCTTTCATAGACTACACTGAGTGCCTCAATCTTTCATAGACTACACTGTGTGCCTCAATCTTTCATAGACTACACTGAGTGCCTCAATCTTTCATAGACTACACTGAGTGCCTCAATCTTTCATAGACTACACTGAGTGCCTCAATCTTTCATAGACTAAACTGAGTGCCTCAATCTTTCATAGACTACACTGAGTGCCTCAATCTTTCATAGACTACACTGAGTGCCTCAATCTTTCATAGACTACACTGAGTGATCAATCTTTCATAGACTACACTAAGTGCCTCAATCTTTCATAGACTACACTAAGTGCCTCAATCTTTCATAGACTACACTAAGTTCCTCAATCTTTCATAGACTACACTGAGTGCCTCAATCTTTCATAGACTACACTGAGTGCCTCAATCTTTCATAGACTACACTGAGTGCCTCACTCGTGCATAGACTACCTACGACCATTGAGTTATCAGGATAAAGGGGACATGTTAAATACAAACTTAAGATTGTAGATTAGATCAGAATAAGAAAATAACCCAAAATGATGTTACTTGTCTGTTTCTTGCAGCTATGAGCCAGAACTTCATCCTGGTGTAACGTACCGGATCAAGGATCCCAAAGCGACACTAAAAATCTTCTCCACCGGCAGCATTACAGTCACAGGTAAGGTTTCACTGTTGAAGCTAGATTAGCTCTTGCTAGTTGCACAATGTTTCCCCCTTGTGCAAAATGTATTGAGCACGTCAGCTGTGTTGTCGACCTAACTTCATTTGATGGATGCCAAAGCTTCCATGGGAAATACTGCAATGATGTTGATCACAAGCATGAGGTAAAGTTAAGGCTGTTTTGATGGTGTATAAGGAGACAGTCAGCACCTTTGGATGCCAGCAGGCTCTGTGTTGGTTTTACTGATCCTCATGCAAGACTCCTGCCACACATCCTCTCATGCAAGACTCCTGCCACACATCCTCTCGTGCAAGACTCCTGCCACACATCCTCTCATGCAAGACTCCTGCCACACATCCTCTCGTGCAAGGCTCCTGCCACACATCCTCTCATGCAAGTCTCCTGCCACACATCCTCTCGTGCAAGACTCCTGCCACACATCCTCTCGTGCAAAACTCCTGCCACACAACCTCTTGTGCAAAACTCCTGCCACACATCCTCTCGTGCAAGACTCCTGCCACACATCCTCTCGTGCAAAACTCCTGTCACACATCCTCTTGTGCAAGACTCCTGCCACACATCCTCTCGCGCAAGACTCCTGCCACACATCCTCTCGTGCAAGGCTCCTGCCACACATCCTCTCGTGCAAGTCTCCTGCCACACATCCTCTCATGCAAGACTCCTGCCACACATCCTCTCGTGCAAGACTTCTGCCACACATCCTCTCATGCACCATGGATAATGGCCCACCTTTGTGACCTGATCCAAGCTGGCAGGGGATCTCAGAATTAGTGGCCCTAGAGATGAAGTATCCGGTCTGGTTTTCATCAGCTCACAATCTACCACTATCAGTCAGCTGCCTACGCTCAGAAGTCCATCTGATATGTGTCTTGTGGCACAACAGCAAAGTATTCATTATCCAATTCCCTAGTTTTGCAGGAACAGGTATAACTTGTTCGAGTAAAACTTTATTTATAGAATGTGCATGTTCTACCATACATTGACACAGCCATGTCAATATACATATGTAACTTGTTCTTTGTAGAATCTTTATATTCTGCCATACCTTGATAAATTTACTTGTTCTTTATAAAATCTGTGTCTTTTACCATACGTTGACATATTCATGTCAGTATATATCTGTGATAGATTTAACTTGTTCTTTATAGAATCTGTGTATTCTACCATGTTAACATAACTATGACTTTTAGACGCCATTCTGATAAACGCACAATTGATGCAAAAATGTCACTGTGGTTATAAAACTTAGCGTAACTTTGTGCACCAAATTAGTTCATAGTCTGCTAGTTTCAGCGAAACAATAATAGTCACAAACTGGATTTAATTATTTACGATGTGTAGCTTTGGTGAACACGGAACTTCCTGAATCAACAAAACTTGGTAACACGGTCTGTCGCAGGGCGTAGATGATATACCATTTTTCATTGGTCAGCTGACTCGTCCGCGCTTGCTGTGTTTATAGGTTCTGCTAGGGTGAAGACGTTGTATCGTACACTGTTTTCAGTCTATACCTTGGAACAATGTTTTCCTAATGATTGTGGTCCGCGTGGTTTTTGAATTTTCTTCGGACAAGCTCCCACTTGGAATGAATCAAGGCTTGACTTGGAATAAAATGTATCTTTCTACCGTCACTTGACATGCACCTTGTCTTACGACAAATCTCCTCTCGCCATGGCTCACTCTCTGGATGATTAATTCACACTGCTCTCACGTCTAGGTTTAACAACACAACGCCGCTCAGCTTCTTTGTTCATGCTATCAGTTAATTCTGGTCCATTTGTTCCACATGCTCAAACAGTATTCACACTTCTATCGCTTGCGACATACTCAAACACTAGTCATTCTCGCGACATAAAGACTACATCTTCAACTAAATGCAACCGTCTTCCATGACTTCTGTTGATCCACTGACCACGAGTCTAGCTCGGGCTTCCCCTCGCTTACTCGACTAGCCCCAATTATCTCGTGCTGTCACTTGTAGCACAGACTTTCTGCTGGCCACTATGTACTCGTTGACATAAACATGTCAGTATATATCTGTAATAGATTTAACTTGTTCTTTATAGAATCTGTGTATTCTACCATGTTAACATAACTATGTTCATGGTAGTATCTGTAATGTAATACGACACTTACTAAATGTTCTGTGCATGACAGTAAAAGCTTTATGTTGACATGAGTGCCATGTTTCTGTTTCAGCTCCGTGTGTCTTGAATGTTCAGTTGGCCATTGAGCACATCTACCCTATAGTCTGCCAGTATAAAATGGACGTCCCTGTCCAGCCAAAGGTTGGTCTACTTGTGCATGTCTGTTTAGCCCGGTCACCCCAAGAAAGCTCAATGTAGTCACCCACGGTTGTGACACAGTCCCATCAGTGTGGGTGTATTGCCGTGTCTGTTTAGCCCGGTCACCCCAAGAAAGCTCAATGTAGTCACCCACGGTTGTGACACAATCCCATCAGTGTGGGTGTATTGCCATGTCTGTTTAGCCTGGTCACCCCCGGTTGTGACATAATCTCATCAGTGTGGGTGTATTGCCGTGTCTGTTTAGCCTGGTCACCCCCGGTTGTGACACAATCCCATCAGTGTGGGTGTATTGCCATGTCTGTTTAGCCTGGTCACCCCCGGTTGTGACACAATCCCATCAATGCGGGTGTATTGCCGTGTCTGTTTAGCCCGGTCACCCCAAGAAAGCTTAATCTAGTCACCCCCGGTTGCGACACAATCCCATCAGTGCGGGTGTATTGCCATGTCTGCAGCGACCTGTTCTAAAAAAACATGACCCATTTTGAAGGATTTGTGGGGCAGATAGATTACAGATCATCACACATGTTGATCACAGCAGCATGCTGTGATGTAGAATGTAACTGCAAGGGTAGACAAGGTTGCAGGGAAACACAAACTGCAACACACAGTTGTCATAGATTTTCTTGTTTCAATTTAATCTTACAATCGGTCAGGTCGTTTGAGTGGTGGGCCCTCCTGCAGGAGTCCTGGGTTTCATCTTCGGTAAGAGAAGATGTTTATATCGGTGGAAAACTTCTGAACTGCAGTTTATGACCCACGCCCCCCCCCCCCCCCCCCCCCAATATCCCCCAGTTATACTGCCATTAAAGTAGTAAAAGTATTTATGAAATGGAATCATCTGTGTTTGCAATGAGTTCAACACTTGAGTTTACAGCTGGGCTGTGATATTGCCTTTCAACACAACACGATGTATTTCTGCCAAACCTTAATTGCCGTCTTTTACAATATACTCATTAAAGGGAAGTATGTCTGCTTATGCTCCCCCAAAATGAGGTTAGCTATTATGGGGAAACAATGCCTCAGTATGCTCCAGACTTCACGCTCTGCGAGGAAACTGACAACAGAAGTAGAAAACCATCCTAGCTACCTATTGGGGGCTGCAGTCAGTTTTTTTGTGTGACTAGAGAAAGCCGTTGCCCTGCATAAAGAAATGCTGTAGGGTTATGAGCGGAGAGGTGAGAGTAGTGGTACAGGAAACATGATTACTCTTGCATCACATTTAGTGGCTGACAACAAAATAGGTGTCTTATGAGATGAAATATGCTTCATTACAAGTAAACTCACACAACCAGACATTATCTTCATGTAGAGCCTAGGTGTGTCTTTATCATTCTCTGTCTGTTCGTAGGGTATTTTTTGTGGTGGGGGGGAGGGCTGTTATTGGTGGAAGAGCGGCTAGTCGAATGGCTACCAATACTGAGCTCACAAGCGATAGCCCCAGGTTTGAATTCTCGGTAACCTCATGGATTTTGTCTGCAAGGGGCAAAGCTAAATCCCCAATCTGCACAGTTTGTGGCGACAGCACCAGCTATGTGGCCCGAAATCCTTATGTTTAACCCCCCCCCCCCCAACCACCTCAAAGGTGATAAATACAGGCAGTTTTTGTTAGCTGGTAAACTTTAATTGATTTTCAGATCCTATTTTCTCTCGGTGAAATGCTGATGTGGTATCTGAAATCTTTCTGATGTCATTGTTTCACATCCTTTTTCTGGGTGTCTTGTGCAGAATTTCTCAGTCATTTCGTTGCACGTGAGTTGAGTTCAGCTAAAAACCGACAGCACAACACCTGGGACATTTCCATGCGCTCTGTTTGCATTTTTTCAGCAGCCAGCAAAGAGTTCCAGTGCCAAAAAATACCAGTAGCAGTTTGATGAAACGACCTTCTGGCCTTTTCCCTCCGTGAGTGAAGTATTGGCTAAACTGCCAGGTCACTTCCTGCTGTATCATTCTACACCTGGTAACGACCCGTCCTTGCTTCTGTATTCTTTACCTGCTGCCATATGACTTTGACCACATCTTTCTCACATGTGCTGTGCTTGATGGATGTCGGTAGCAACTGAGTTTCTCTTTGATAGTAGAGTTTTGGAAAATAAATAGTTTTTTTTTTCTTACTTTTTTTTTTTTTGATTGTTTGATTAGGTTATATATAATTTTTGTGTGTAAATTATCCAGTGATGTGACATATTGTCCTATTACATGTTTCAGATTGTACCTTCAAGTAATAAAGTCATACAGAAAAGGACACAATACATTGGTTACCCTGTCTTACATTTCCGCGATGATGAAATGGATGGGCTTGATGATGATGATGATTTTGATGATGATTATTCTGACAGCTTTGACAGTGATGAGAGCCAAGACTAGTGAGTTGTGCGTCAGTGACGTGAGCCAAGACTAGTGAGTTGTGTGTCAGTGACTTGAGCCAAGACTAGTGAGTTGTGGGTCAGTGACGTGAGCCAAGACTAGTGAGTTGTGCGTCAGTGTAAGTGACTGCAGAAGCTTGGATGTTGTTCATACTTTTGTATTTTGTTGTACTTAATCCAAAATATATCTTCCAAATGAACACTGCGATTCCGATGGCACTTTCTGTGTGTTGTGGTTTAGTTTTTCGGGTTTTTTGTTTGTGAAGGCACGCAGACTGTAAATACACATAACAGAATGGCAGATTTGTCTTGTATATCCTGTAAGTATGTGTGTTTTATTTTTGTCATTTTCATAAAGAAACGACTGATGGCAGTTATAATTGTCACTAGTTTCTGTCTGTAGCCAAGGAGTTGTAACACACTCACGGCCAGTGTCATTAAAGGTAACTAATTAGGGCTTTGCCAAAGTCACATATTTGGGGCCCAATGGTGTAGATCTCGCAGGCTGGCTGTAAATGACAACATGGCATGCCAATCGCCTTTTTAAGGGCACTCTCAAAAGAAGAGCCAGGTGCTAGGAAAAAAATCCTGTTATAGAGATAAAAGGCAGTTAGAAGTGGTCAGTGCTTGCTGGAGCCAGCTTTGTATAGCATGCAGTGACCGAAAGTAAAAAGTAGGTACATGTTACACAGACATTGTAAATCATGGAGAAATCCATGCGGAGCTGAATCAGTTGACAATAATTGTTGTTTGCTGAAGCACTTAAAAAAGGTCGATGGGGAGGGGGTTGTCTGAAAGGTTAAAAGACAGTTTAGGCAAAGTGGATAAATATCACTGCTGTATGGAAAAGGATGACTTGAGTAATGTGTTGAGTAGTAGCTGTTCAGTGAATGAGTAAACATTCAACACTGCTATTGTTCTGATTCTCTGGTGATGATAGCTCTTGAGTTTCTTCCTCTGTGAAATGAACAAACAGACGATCTTGTTTATAATGAACCATGCCATGCTTCTTGCCTTCAGCAAACTAGTGGCTTCCTGGGGAGGCAGCTTTTCCTATTTCTGTACACCTTTGAAGTTCTGATGTTTAGTATATTATATAAATGGTGCTTCTTTCCCTGATATGTGATCTTGCCAGCTGTCTCTTGGATCATGTGAATCTGCTCTCTTGTACCAACTGTCTCTTGGATCATGTGAATCTGCTCTCTTGTACCAGCTGTCTCTTAGATCATGTGAATCTCTGCTGTCGTGTGCCAGCTGTCTCTTGGATCATGTGAATCTCTGCTCTCTTGTGCCAGCTGTCTCTTGGATCATGTGAATCTCTGCTCTCTTGTACCAGCTGTCTCTTAGATCATGTGAATCTCTGCTCTCTTGTACCAGCTGTCTCTTAGATCATGTGAATCTCTGCTGTCGTGTGCCAGCTGTCTCTTGGATCATGTGAATCTCTGCTCTCTTGTACCAGCTGTCTCTTGGATCATGTAAATCTCTGCTGTCGTGTGCCAGTCTCTTGGATCATGTGAATCTCTGCTGTCGTGTGCCAGCTGTCTCTTGGATCATGTGAATCTCTGCTCTCTTGTACCAGCTGTCTCTTGGATCATGTGAATCTCTGCTGTCGTGTGCCAGCTGTCTCTTGGATCATGTGAATCTCTGCTGTCGTGTGCCAGTCTCTTGGATCATGTGAATCTCTGCTCTCTTGTACCAGCTGTCTCTTGGATCATGTGAATCTCTGCTCTCTTGTGCCAGCTGTCTCTTGGATCATGTAAATCTCTGCTCTCTTGTGCCAGCTGTCTCTTGGATCATGTAAATCTCTGCTCTCTTGTACCAGCTGTCTCTTGGATCATGTGAATCTCTGCTCTCTTGTGCCAGCTGTCTCTCAAATCATGTGCTTCTCTGCTCTGTTGTACCATGTTTGGAGGTTTTCCTATATTTTGAGTGATTGATTTAAAACCCACTTGTTGTTGACATTCTAGGGTATTCTATTATGCAAGTGATTCTTTCCCTCACAATGTTCTCTTTTTACCACGCTCATATATAGTACGCATTTACAACTCATAGCCTCTATGAGGCCTCTCACACAAAACAGATGGGACAAAACATAGATCAGCGCTGTGATGTTAGACACACAACATGGATCAGTGCTGTGATGTTAGACACACAACATAGATCAGCGCTGTGATGTTAGACACACAAAGTCAACAGACTGTGATGTTAGACACACAAAGTCAACAGACTGTGGTGTCAGACATAAACATAGATCAGCACTGTGATGTTAGACACACAAAGTCAACAGACTGTGGTGTCAGACATAAACATAGATCAGCACTGTGATGTTAGACACACAAAGTCAACAGACTGTGGTGTCAGACATAAACATAGATCAGCGCTGTGATGTTAGACACACAAAGTCAACAGACTGTGATGTTAGACACACAGTCAACAGACTGTGGTGTCAGACATAAACATAGATCAGCACTGTGATGTTAGACACACAAAGTCAACAGACTGTGGTGTCAGACATAAACATAGATCAGCACTGTGATGTTAGACACACAACATAGATCAGCGCTGTGATGTTAGACACACAACATAGATCAGCGCTGTGATGTTAGACACACAACATAGATCAGCACTGTGATGTTAGACACACAACATAGATCAGCACTGTGATGTTAGACACACAACATAGATCAGCACTGTGATGTTAGACACACAACATAGATCAGCACTGTGATGTTAGACACACAACATAGATCAGCACTGTGATGTTAGACACACAAAGTCAACAGACTGTGATGTTAGACACACAAAGTCAACAGACTGTGGTGTCAGACATAAACATAGATCAGCACTGTGATGTTAGACACACAAAGTCAACAGACTGTGGTGTCAGACATAAACATAGATCAGCACTGTGATGTTAGACACACAAAGTCAACAGACTGTGGTGTCAGACATAAACATAGATCAGCGCTGTGATGTTAGACACACAAAGTCAACAGACTGTGATGTTAGACACACAGTCAACAGACTGTGGTGTCAGACATAAACATAGATCAGCACTGTGATGTTAGACACACAAAGTCAACAGACTGTGGTGTCAGACATAAACATAGATCAGCACTGTGATGTTAGACACACAACATAGATCAGCGCTGTGATGTTAGACACACAACATAGATCAGCGCTGTGATGTTAGACACACAACATAGATCAGCACTGTGATGTTAGACACACAACATAGATCAGTGCTGTGATGTTAGACACACAACATAGATCAGCACTGTGATGTTAGACACACAACATAGATCAGTGCTGTGATGTTAGACACACAACATAGATCAGTGCTGTGATGTTAGACACACAACATAGATCAGTGCTGTGATGTTAGACACACAACATAGATCAGTGCTGTGATGTTAGACACACAACATAGATCATTGCTGTGATGTTAGACACACAACATAGATCAGTGCTGTGATGTTAGACACACAAAGTCAACAGACTGTGATGTTAGACACACAACATAGATCAGCTCTGTGATGTTAGACACACAAAGTCAACAGACTGTGGGGTCAGACATAAACATAGATCAGCGCTGTGATGTTAGACACACAAAGTCAACAGACTGTGGGGTCAGACATAAACATAGATCAGGGCTGTGATGTTAGACACACAAAGTCAACAGACTGTGGTGTCAGACATAAACATAGATCAGCGCTGTGATGTTAGACACACAAAGTCAACAGACTGTGGTGTCAGACATAAACATAGATCAGCGCTGTGATGTTAGACACACAAAGTCAACAGACTGTGGTGTCAGACATAAACATAGATCAGCACTGTGATGTTAGACACACAAAGTCAACAGACTGTGGTGTCAGACATAAACATAGATCAGCGCTGTGATGTTAGACACACAAAGTCAACAGACTGTGGTGTCAGACATAAACATAAAGACGGGCAGACAGACTGTAATGTCAGACTGACACTCTTGACGTTGGACACAAATAGACATAAGGCACACAGTAATAGGGCCCTGTGATAGCTGACACACACAGTATGCACATCCTGCTGTTGTACACAGTCAACTGTTGTGGTCAGAATCATTCAGCATTGTGTGATGATCACTTAAAGGTATGTTTGATTCTGCAGTTTCAATATTCATTTTTTTTTTAGCAATCTTTAAACTGTGTCTAGTCTGCAGTGTTACAACCTTGTATATGCTGTTGAAAGAGAATGCACTTGAAGATTTGTTAACTTGTTTGTGTGTCAACATCTTTCATCTGCAGTGTCTGTATGGTTGCATGCATTTATGTCCTTTTGTCAGCGGCTTGCCAGTTGCCAGGCATTTTACAAAAAATGGAATATGTGATGTATTGGCAGGCATGTTTCACTGTATCTGGTCAGGTGTATACTACAGAAATAGTTCAGCATGAAACAAAATGTGATGTGAACCTTTGCTGCTGAAATACTCAACATACAAAGTCCTATATTCCAATAAATTTGTTCCCATGGTAGTTTTGAGCTGCTTTTAACAAGTCTGTCTGCATTGTAGGGGGTTAACCATGCTTCTTGCAGTGGCTTCTGCACATATTAGCATGTGTTAGTTTCACTATTATGTTACTACTTTATTTCAGTAATAACTAACCTGCTTGATGAGATGCAGCAGAAAATAATGCAACAGATCACACAATCTGAGGTTTGTTTTCATCATTCACATTCACAAGAATAAAAGCATTGCCTTGAGTAGTTGGTCCATGGGGAGGACTTTTTGAACTGTCACTTTATGTCCTGTATACCGCTGATGCCGTTATAAACATCTTGGTATTTATAGATTACACGTGTAAGAGGAAAAGCTGGCCAGATGGTTAAGGATGCTGGGCTCTCATGTGGGAAAGCCAGGTTTGAATCCTCAGTCTGGTCATGGATGTTTTCTTAAGGGGACAAAAATAAAATCTAAACAACCGACAGCACTAGCCAAGTGACCCTAAATCCTTAGGCTCA